TMAAAACAAGAGAGAAATTTAAGTAAGCAGTGTAAATTAACACTAACAATTGCACTTTTTAAAATGTAGCACAAAAACAAATTGAAAATGACTCGGCACAATATATTTAAATAAGCTAACACAGAATAAAAGTAAATTCAATACCTTCAATAGCACAATATAACACTGATACTTATCTTAAAAGATCAATTAATCCAAATATTTTCACAATTAAGTCTTGAATATAAATTAAATAAATTCGATAGAGCACCAAAATTCACAGCTGTGCACGAGAAGGGTTGCCAAAAGCTTATAACATTGTCTACAAAAATATCCTAGATTAATCCTTTGTATTTTATTATTTTAAATTGTTAGTATTCAGAATTATTTATTTTTGTTAGAATAGAATAGAATGGTATTATTTGAGGTAATGCACCGCGACCTAGAGTCTATTGTGCCTTCTCCTATATTACATGACCTCCCAGAGCCCCAGCAGCCTGAACAGTTCCAGGAGTTTGCCGGGCGCTAGTGAGGTGATGTGATCCTTGATGATGTGAACGGAATCCAGGGTCTTAAGTATTTTTCCWCAGATTGCTGTGCAATTCAGGATTAGGTGTGCTGGTGTTTCCTGTTCCAGGTCGCAGAACTGGCAGTTAGCACAGGAGACCATGCCCATGTTGTACAGGTATTTCTTGAGCTTACAGTGCTCTGTGTAGATTGCGAGGAGGAGGCGGAATTTTTCACGGAGGAGGTTAATTAGTTCATTAAACCTGGAGAGATTGTACCCTCCTAGAAGCAGCTTGGCGTGGCGCATACTTGCTGCCTGCCGCCAGTGCCGTTCTCCCTCTACACTCTCCTCCGTGCGGAGCAGCTCCTTAAGAGTGTGGGGTCCTACGGCTATATCGCTTTTAGTGTACTTTTCTATCACTGGGAATAGCTATGCGCTGGTTGCGATAGTTGCGACTGAGGTTGATTTCAGCGCACTGACAAAGGGCAAAAACTTCAGCCTGGAAGATACTTGGGAAGCAGCCCAAGGGTATGGACAGCTTGGTACGCGGTCTCGCAATACCTGCCCCAATATTTTCCGGTGTTTTTGAGCCATCAGTGTACCACTGAATGGTACTGTCTTCCAGCAGTCTTTCCAGCTTGGAATCACTCCACTCCGTCTTGCTGCCTAGAGTAACTTTGAAATTCCTCTTGAGGTTTATTTTCTTCGTGGTGCTGTCCTTTGGGAGGTGGGCTAGAGGTGAGCTTTCCGGTAGTGCGTCCATCTGTCTAGAGGACATTACCTTCCTCTTCCACAGCCTTCTGCTAACATTAGCAGCATGGTGTGCTTTGCTGCTAGCTTGATCACCTGATGCAGCGGTGTGAGTTCTAGTATGACTTCCTGTGCTACCGTGGGGCATGTGCGCATTGCCCCCGAAGCACAGACACATGCAAGTCTTTGCAGCTTCGACAGTCTCCGAATCACCAAAGACTGCGCTGCTTTTGTGGCCCAGGCAACCGCTCCATAGGTGACGATAGACCTTACTATCATGGTATACAGCCATCTAATAATATTTGGCTTGCATCCCCATGATCTGCCGGCCAGGCGTCTACAAATCATAAGTGCTCTAGTTGCTTTAGATAGCGTAATGATGAGTCTAAGGTGAGGCCAAGGAATTTGACCTCCCTTGACATTTCCACCTCTGTGGCTCCAATTGTAAGGGACCTCAGGCGCGGAAGAGATCTCCACTTAGTGAATGGGACCACGGTGGTTTTTGCTGGGTTGATATTTAGCGCAACCGCGTTGCACCATCCTTTCGCCAAGTTTAAGCCCCTTTGAACAATGTCACAGAGAGTGTTCTCAAATCTGCCTTTCGCCATTATGACAATGTCGTGAAAATTACTTTTACAATTCTCCATGGCTCAGGGATATACGACATCGCCAGGCTGTCTCTCATCAGTCCTAGCAGGTGTGGTAGGAGAATGCCCATACCTTGCTGCAAGAGGGCCGGGAAGACGCCGTCCACTCCCGGTAACTTATTGAAAAAGGAGGCCAGTGAGCGCTTGACTGAGTCTGCAGTGAACAGGTTCTTGCAGTCAGCCAGTGTGAGCGATCCGCCCTACGTATGATCGAAGCTGGGGTTAGGTCAGCTTGAACTGTCTCCGGGAAGTGCGTTTRWAGGAGTGTTTCCGCCCTTTTCTCCGCGCTTGTCGTATAGGTCCCGTCCGGTCTTTTTTAGGGATAATACTGTGTCCGTCCTACCCTTCGTCAACGCCTTGTGCAGCCGAGCTGCCTCCGGGGTCGAGCAGACGCTATCACAGAATTTCCTGAAACTGTTTGTCTTGGCAAGCCTAATCCCTTGTTATAGGTTTTTAGGTGGCGTTTGTAATGCTCCCAACTGCCTGTGCGCTTGGCTTTGTTGAATAACCTACGCACCCTAAGTCTAAGAGCTGAGAGTTTACTGTGGCCGTCTCTCCCAAAAAGTATGCGGGTGCGAGGACGAAGTCCGATCCTTCCTTGTCCTTCACCTGTACCGCCACTAGATCTTGCGTTAGTAACTCTGAAATACAGAAAAAAATCTATATCGGCTCTAACGATTACCCAAGAACGGGGTCTGTCGCTAGAGAGATCCCAGATTACCTCCCAGTTGAGGCCTCCTACCTCTCCTCTAAACACCCAAGGTTCCTGGATCAGAAGAATGCTCAGGTTATCCGAAATGAATCTCTTCACGATGACCGCCGAGGCTGCCGATGCGTGATGTAGATTCACCTGAGCTATTTCTATGCCGGCTCTGCAGCTTATAATATTGATTCGATGAGAGACAGGTTTTCGTCCTCGATCACTTCATCAACCTGCATCTTCAGCCCTTCCAGAAGCTCTTAGGTGGATGGCAGCTTGCCTTTCTCCTCATTGTGGATCTCGTTGTTCCTGTTTTCATCCGCGGCGGTGGTCGCAACCTGCCCAGCCGAGATGAAGTCATTGGGGGAATCGTTTCGCTCTCCCGAAACCAAAGCGGCAGTCGCCTCATGCGCTGCTGGGTGGGTTACGGGTGGAGCCGTGTAAAATTTTATTGGAAAGTATCTATTTTTGTTACGGTGAAATATATTTTAACATTTGTTGTTGCATTTCAATACGCATATTTTAAGGTGTTGAAACTTCATTGTCTGTAGTAATTTTTTGAAATTGTTGATCTCAGCCAAGCAATAAAATTAAGTTATCACATTGACTCATTTCTATTATAAAACCCCTACACTTTATCTCTCATACTTATTTATTGGCTCCACTGCGGGCGAAGCCGCGGGTAAAAAGCTAGTTATTGTTATAAATAAAAATAAAAATATATATTGACTTTGTTTCATAACATTTACGAAATTTGTGTAAAATCGATTTATTTTTAACCTTTTCGTGTTTGAGTTGCCTACAACATATAAAAAAACAACAATCGATTAATATCTTTGATGATATTTTCAGTATATACAAAATGGCAGACCTGAGTTCTTTTTAGTTTTTTGACCTGCTAACTATCAAGTCTCAAATTTGAGGCAATATTTTGAGATTAACGCTAGAGACTGTGAAGTGAATTAGTGAATCGTAACTAGTCACAAATTCAGACTTTAGCTTGAAATGTCTCAAATAGACACTAGAGACTGCTTACAGAATACCGCTATTATCCTGAAATAAAATTACACGGGTTGAACCAACACCTAGGGGTACTCATTATTTTCGCGGTGAAGTCTTTGTGCCTTAGCGGTCAATAATGAATTTTATATTGACAATATAATCTTTCTTTTTTTCTTCTTTTTATTGGAATACAAAATATTTTAACACTATTTTTTTGCTTATTTGCTTTCATTTTCATTTTCTTATTGTTGAAATAAATGGATTTCAAAGAAAGTTAAATACGGAATTAAAGTCATTTTTGCACTACTTATTACAAACATATGTGCAGAAAATATAAGAGTGAAATTGAAAGACACGTATTTTGAATAATTTAATTTTTGATATTTAATGTAAACATCTCAAAAGCCATAAATGTGGAATCTTTCACTATCCATACATACCAATTTTAATCCCGAAATCGGATTTTGGTTTTCTAAACCCAGGTCAAATTATTTGTACAATTCGTAAAATCGTCATAATATAAAATCCGATATAGATATTTCTTTCCTCCATAACGGGGCATCTCGACAGGATAAAATCTATGTCTTACTAACTGTCAAATCTATTGCTATTGCCATTGCCAAATCTGTATGTGGGCATTTGTTATCTTGACATAATCATTTGCACAAGGGCGTGGGTAGGTAGGTTCGAGCTGATGTAGCGCATGCTTTGAGCTCTTGAAATTGCGAAATGCCGTCGGGTAGGTAGCTGATGTAGCTTTTATGAGGAAAATGTATTTCTGGGAAAAATAAGATAATAACAAAGGAGAAAAATCCTTTTTTCCACACACGTATTTCTGGGAAAAATAAGATTTCATATTTTTGGACTACTATATAATAATTGGGACATACCATAAATACACCAATTAAAATAATAAATTTAAAATGAGAAAGATGTTTAGATTTATGTTTGTATAAGTTTATTAAATTTAAGACTTCGGTCATTCCCAACCCAATTTGCATAATTTTTCTGTAAATTAATTATTAAACTAAATATAAATTTTTTGGAATAATGTTATTTTGAAAATGTACTTTATTTTTATAACATAACGCAACCATCTTAATACTCGCTCTTCTAAATTTTATATTACCGAAATAAAAATGCCGTCCGCATATGTGTAAATAGGATATGTTGCCTCTTCGAAATTTTCATAGAAATGAAAACTGCCCCGTCAAACTACTGAAGTGACAGCTTACTGCTTCCGATATATGGCAAACTCCACATTGCTTATTGCTTACAATATATGGAAAACTAATTAGTTTGCCATAGGCGATAGGCACGGCAATACAGTTAGTAAGACATAGATTTTATCCTGTCGAGAGGCCCGGTATAATGTGGTAATAAATTGTCACGGGTCCTACAATCCAATTTTCAGTGGAGACGCGGCGTTAAGTACAAATTCTTCTGATACATCGATTATTTTTCTCTTGTCATAGCTATTTTGTTTATATCTTAAATTAAAATGGGCCGTCGGAAGTCAAAAAGGAAGCCTCCACCGAAAAAGAAAAATATTGAGCCTTTGGATCAGCAGTTCAATTGCCCATTTTGTAATCATGAAAAGTCATGCGAAGTAAAAATGTAAGTTAATCATTAGTTTTTAGTTAATAAAAATGAGTATATAAAAAYGAGTATATTTAAATGAGTATGTACGGATAAAGGACGATCTCCAGTTGAGCGGGTTGCAAAATTTTATTGGAAAGTATCTCTAAATTTTATTGTTTTAAATGTAGGATTATTTTCGAGTGTGAAAAATTATTGACAAGATTACAGAAAAATGTGGGAAGGTTCGCTTTAGTATCTCTTTTTGAAGAGGGTTTGCGCAAAGGGGAGGGGGCTGTGGGCTTGCTACCCCTCTCATTTGAAAGGTAATGAACGGAGCTTTAGAATAAAAGCACCCTTCCCCCCCCTAGGACTACTAGGGGCTCTAGGGCAGCCTCCTGAAAATGGTGTAAAATCGTAGTTTTTCCATACAATTTTCACTAATTGTTATAAAATATATGTATTTTTACGCATAGAGTGACTCTATATTTATTATTTTTATTATTTCAATGAATTAAAGTGGAAATCCACTTTATTTAAATAATAAAAACACTGAAAATTAAAAATTGTATATGTGTCGGTAATAACGCATACAAGTAGTTGAAGTACCAAGATAACCCAACCAACCATTTATACAAGACCCCCTAAATAATAAAATTGGGAATACCATCACCTTTGAAAAAATTAGATATTATTTTATATAATACTGTTTTCAAAGAAAATTTCAAAGCTCTCTGAAAAGCGCCGCAAATTTTCGTTATATGGACGTAATATATTGCCCACTTTTCAGAGAGCTAAATAGCGTATTGTTGTTGTTATAACGATTATCAGTCCCCGTTGGGATGGTGAGGGTTATCAGTGTTGTCGTCGATGTCATCTAACGGGAGGCCCAGGAAACGTGCTGTTTCGACGGGGTCGGACCAAAGGGAAAGGGGTGTTAGATGGGTGGGGTTGGTTGGGCATGCA